AGGGAAAGGGACTCTTACCATTTGGTATTTGGAATTACTGAAATGTATGCCAAATTAACATTCGATTTAACATTTATTTCACTACCTGGAATAAATTTCCCAAGTGGTGGGAAGACTTTTCTTCTACGTCGCGTTTTCCCTAGCAGAAGCCGAGTTTTCTCGCGAGTGTACAAGGAAGATTACTCGACGAGAAAAGTGTTACCTTAAAGTAAACCATGTTAAAATGGTACCTTAAACGTCAATTAAGGATTTCGAAATCAGGCACGAGTTTCTGGCTCGGAACGGAGTTTCTGGAACGTCCTGGGAGAGAAAATAACGCGGGATAGGGATCTCCGGAATGTTTATCGTTCCAGAAATGAATATGCCAAGGGGCGAGGGGGGCAGAGACCGGAAGGCAAATCGTGAAGCGTTACCATCACAACCTTCGTTCGTGTTTATTTGCCCTGAAATCCCATTTTCACGTGTGCATGAACCTGAAGCCGTGTGTTGTTGGCTTGTAGTCGCTCATAACCGCTTGTTCCGTATCTTCACCGGCCTGGAAACAAGGATCACACCGAGTTTTCTCATTCTCGGGGCCATTCAGAGGAAGATGGCGGCACTGTGCACGCTTCGAAAACGCTCGAGAATGTTTCAGGAAGCTCCGTGTCACGTGCTTGAAACTAGTTGGAGTGCTGACGCCAAAAGCAATTAAACTGGTCGAATAATGTTACCCTTTGAGATGGGAAAATTCGTGTATCTAGATAAAGAGTTAAAAATCTATTTTTATGCAAAATAACATTTTTTAAAGTAATTTAATTTATCAAGACAGGCGCAAATGTAGAAATTTATTTTTCCTCTTAAGTCTCTTATTAGGTTCAGATTAAAATAAAAAATTCATTGGATCCGATGAAAGTTTTGTTTTTTATCGTATTTCACAGAACCCTATGGGTTATAAATGTATAAAATCAGCAGTCTACATATCAGTATAGTAGACTGCGGATTTTATGGATTTATAGCACACACGATTCTCTAGTATTCACTATACATAAATATATAATAAATTTGAAAGAAATTTTTATTTTCTTTAAAAACCTGATAGAACAGTAAATAAAGTAAACAGATCCTAGTTTGACTTTAGTTTCTGTAAACTAACACCAAAAAAATTATATTTGCAAAAAAATCCGCAGTTTACCAATTACGTTTCTGCGTGTCTTAACGAAAGGCCCTAAGTTCCTTTCGAAAGACAGCCATAGATCAAAGACGCAACAGCGAAACGGTTGGAGAATCATCCGGATGATTGCTCGAAGTTTCCAGGAGAGGTTCTCTTAGGAAGATAAAGCATCCCATCCGGCTGATCGCGATTCGAGCCGGTGAAATGAACGGTGGAGGTCAATTTCCAGCCTGGAAGCCAATTATTCCAATAAATCTGTCGACTGCACATTGGCGTCCATTGATTGGCCTGTTCCCCCTATTACAGAGACGGTCTGCTCGTGACAGGGGGGTGTAGACCGTGAAATCAGCAGCTTAAATCATCCCTTAGAAGCCCCGTTCACCAAATCCAAGTAATGTCATCGTCTTACTGGACGTAACACGGCCGTTTGTTTTTGTTTTTACAGCCCACGTGGCGTTTATGGGGCGAGGAAAGGGGTGACGGCGTCATATACACGGTGTACCTGAAGAAAGTCCGATATCACAGGCCCACCAGGAGCCTTTCTGCATCGGTGAGTATATCGGATAACTAAATACATTCATAATTGTCAGTGTTAGATGAAGAGTCTGGGGAAAATGATTATAATCTATTCTAAATTGAGATTTTAGCATCTTGTGTTAGGTATTTAGGGGAAGGTATCGAACTGTAGTAGAACAAATAGGGACAAAAAGGCTCAGTTTAGAAAAATTAGCCATTTGCATTCGAAGCTGTTTCAGATAGAGAAAGCTACCAATTCGAAGAATTAAAAACTCGACGAAATCTTTTAAAATATACATATAAAGAAATAATACGTTCTTTTCCCAAAATTTCAGTTTTTAATGCATTTTTTTATTTCTAATTTTAATATGTATGTTTGAAAATATAATATTTGAATTCCCATGCCTTGTAATTATTTTTTCTGTGACCCTTAAGGATATACTCTGCAAGGCTACTGTCGCTTCCCACTTACCACTCGAGTTACCACGTTAAATTGTATGACGAATGAGAGTCGCCTCTCGAGTGTAAAGGGTTAAGTCAGACATAATTAAAAAAAAAAGTCATTCAAAGTTGGTTAGAGACAGTTTAAAAAAAAAAAGTCATTCACAGTTGGTTAGATATAGTTCAATAAAAATGTGTCATTGTTCCCTTAATAACTTTCCAATAAACATTTGATAACTGAAACTTTCTGAAGGTCGTTAATGAGGGTGACCTTGACATATGTCAAGGTCATTCAAGCTACATCCCCTAAACGTAACATTTACCCGGCAAATTTAACTATGATCGTTTTTCCTTGAACTCTTCGAACTGTATCTGTCGTAATATCTATTAACTATTTATTAAAATTTCGATTATCCAGGATTCCGACGACGAGATCTCGCACCTAGAATGGGAGACGGTCAGGGTGCGTTTCCTGAAGGCTGGCACGGTGCAGCGTCTGGTCGAGAGTCTGGCGAACGACGACGGGGAGCTCGAGTCGACGTACATAAACGTCTTCTTGGCGACGTATCGAGCGTTCACGTCCCCGCGAGACGTTCTCGAGCTATTGTTGGCGCGTTACGACGCCCTCGACGATGGATCCGGCGCGCTGACTGGCGAACAGCACCGAAAAACCCTCGTGCAGGCGTTACACGTGTGGCTGGACGCGTACCCAGGTGACTGGAAATCACCGCCGAATCATCCTCTGCTCAGCAGACTGCTGGACTTCACGCATCGTCGATTGCCTGCCTCGGAGCTCGAACTGAAGGCGAGGCATCGGTTGCACAGGTTCCAGCGTGAGGATCAGATAGGTAAATGGAGGTCGCTGGCATTAGAGGATTGTCCAAGAAACTTGGTGATTACATTGAGGCATCATTAGAATTCGAAAAACAATTTCTTTTAATGTGATCGACTCGAAAATTTCTAGCCTATAGAGCCTCCTTTTTGGGTACTTCTTTCTTGGGTTACTTTCTTCTTCTTTTGGGGATTTCTTTCAACGGATTACGTGCCGAACTACGAATCTTAATTCAGAATGGAGAACAATGTATTGCAAAGAAAGATGATAGAAGCAGAAATCCATGAGGACACCAAAATAGAAATTATATAAAAAATTGTACACTTGATTGGGGTGAACTTTCGAAGAGTATGGGTTATTAAAAGGTTGTTAACGAGGGAAGATTGAGAAACGTACCGTAATTTTTACAGAAGTCTGAACTTCAGAAATCTCTCTCTGATCAGTGTAATGCTTCAGAGTTGGTCAGAGACAATTCAAGAAAGAAACTGATCTTGATAACATATGTCAAGATCAAAGTCACCAGTTGTGGGTATTTTTCGGAAGTTTGATCCGTTAATTGCATATTTAGAAAGTATTTAAAAATGAAGTCGGACAGTCGAGGTCCTTCTTTTGTAATTGTCGTAGCCTCTTCTCGGCCCAGCACCTCTCAACGATACCAATTCCACGCGTCTTCTATATTTATACCTAATTATGCAGTCCTATCATCCATTACTCGCCGATACAACGATATTACCCGACGTCAAGCGGATGTTTACCGAGCCCCCTATCAGAATTCGGTATCCCTCTAGATAAAAGCCAAGTCGCGAGTCATAAACGTCTGATTCACTGGATGACTCGTTCAGAGGACATAGATATACACGTTGTTCCCATTAATTATCTTTAATCAATGAAGATTTTCTACTTTTCGCCAGATTCCTGTATGGTGTACGACAACGGTCGTCTGCCCCGAGGCTCTCCGGATCCGATGGTGGATCATTGGGCGGCCTACAGCTTCCCAGAGGTGCCGCATCGTCATTTCGCCGAGCAGCTGACCCGTATGGACGCGGAGGTGTTCAAGAAACTGGTGGCGCATCAGTGCCTGGGCGCTGTCTGGTCGAGAAGGGATCGTTCGAGGAGCCACGACGCTGCTACTGTGTTAGCAACGGTGAATCAATTCAACGCAGTGTCCCTAAGGGTGATATCGACAATTCTGATGGATCCCGCCATGAAATCCCAGGAACGTGCCAGGATCCTGGAGACGTGGATCGATATTGCTCAAGAGCTACGGGTGCTGAAGAACTTCAGCAGCTTGAAGGCAATAGTGTCAGGGCTGCAGAGCAATCCGGTTTACAGGCTGGAGAAATGCTGGCAGTGCATGCCCAGGGAGAAACACGAGCTGTTCAGGGAACTGGAGAGGATCTTCTCCGAGGAGAACAACGCGTGGACGCAGAGGGAGCTTCTGATCAAGGAGGGCACCGCCAAGTTCGCGGACACAGCTGGCAGAAGCGACAGGCATCTCCAGAAGTTGTTCCAGAAGCAGAACACTCATGCAGGCGTGAGTGTAGATCCTTTAGTAAACCTAGATTCACCATCGATTTTACCAAGTAATATTAACGAGAAGTCTTGACTCTGTTTTTAGAATATCAGTTACGGAACGATACCGTACCTGGGAACCTTCCTGACCGACCTAACGATGATAGACACCGCGATACCAGATACGATAGCCGAGGGATTGATCAATTTCGACAAGAGACGGAAAGAGTTCGAGGTGCTCGCCAGGATAAGACTGCTCCAGGGCGCGGCGAACGCGTACAACTTCAACACGGATCCTCTGTTCGATCGTTGGTTTCATTCGGTTGTGGTGTTGGACGATCGCGAGGCGTACAAGCTCAGCTGCCAGATAGAACCTCCGCCGCCTGGGAACACTTTGAGCAATCGTGGAAAGAAGAAGCAGGTCAGTCCCCCCCTCTATTATCCTCCTCTGTCCAATCTGGACTTGTTCTCCGTATATAAACGTTTGAACTCGTCTTGCAGAGCCATCAGGGACACCGTAAAAACGATTCGATAGCGTCCACGTCTAGCTCCAGTAGCTCCCAGTTCTACTACGACCTGGATTCTCTGCCCAGCTCGCCGCACAACTCTCTCGACCGACGCACATCGCCGTCCCAGATGTCCAGCTCGTCGTCCAGCTCGTCGTTACCGTCCCTGGACGTGTCCCTTAGCTCGGGCGGCGGCAGCGGGGCCACGGCCAATCAGCAGAATCGTTTAGCGCCGGTGATAACTGCGAACGGGAACAGTACTAACCTGGTCGGTCTGTCCAGTCCCAGCCATTCGCACAAGAGCTCCCCCGATTTCTACATCATCAAGGTCACCATGGAGAGCGACAACGTGGAAACGGACGGTGTGGTGCTCTACAAATCTATCATGCTGTCGAACAACGAGAGGACACCGCAGGTGATACGGAACGCGATGCTCAAGCTGGGAATCGAGGGCAGTCCCGATCAGTACACTCTCGCCCAGGTGCTACCCGATCGAGAAATGGTCTTGCCGAACTCGGCGAACGTTTACTATGCCGTGAACACCGCGCACAACCTGAATTTCATTCTGCGACCCAGACGGGAACCGAACGACATCGCCTCGGACAGTCCCAAGAGCAAGACCAGTCACAAACGGTAGTGCTGAATCCTTTGACAAGGGTGGAGAACCGTGAACAATGAAAGGCTGAAGTGATCGCGTTGGAAGGACAGAGAAAGAATCTCAATGTACGTTACGATGGTGCGATTTAACCATGTTTCGTTTGTTTCTTCTGTTTTTTTCTTTTTTTTTTAAATAACCCATGACAGTACTGACACGTTTTTGTTAGTGACAACTACGGGCCGGTGTATATTAACTCTCTTCGGGGCACCCATGGGAATCATTGTTTTGTTTTTTTGCTGTCCCCCTTTCCTGTCTATTTTCTATTCTTTTTTTTTTTTCTCTCTCTTGTTACTCACCGGTTGCACATGCTCGTGTTAACACAACGTTTACCCGACCACACCACGGTATACATACCACACTCTCGGATATTCGACATTTTATTATTATGCAATCATGTCCGCGGAAATAATTTAGCGTTTAGATATATGTGTTTAGCCGTGAGTCATAGGGTTCGCCGATTATCGGCGCGGAAAATGAACAAAGATAAGCGACGCGGGAAAGGTAGCTGTTTTAGCTTTAGTTCGTGTGTAGTCACGTAGTATGTGGTCCGTCGCGGGAAAATCATTGTGATTTTGTACATAAGTTTAGTTTTCGTATTGCAAACGGAGAACGTGCGTGCGTGTGCGCGTGATCGATCGGACCAATTGGACCCGAACGAAAATACAATTGTCAATTATAACTTTTTCTCTTCGTTTCGGAAAGTAAAAAAAAAAGAAAAAAAAGAGAGAACAGAAACAAAATAGGTCGGTGAAGAAAGAAACCACACAGAGTCAATGTTCAAGCGACTATATATACATATATTATACAAATTCGTCCATTCCGTGAGTCATTTTTCTAGCCGCGCGACAAAAGACGCGCGCGGCGCGGAGAAATTCAATTCTGTGATATATATTATTGGAATATCACTCATTTCGGCTTTGAAGATGATTAATCATAGAGAAAACCGAAATCGAGCATAACGTTTCAGGCAAAATGGGACAAAAAGAAGAGGAAAAAAGAAACACACACAAAAAGAGGATTGTTTAAGAGAAACACGAAATCGAATACTCGTTCCGATGTCTCGAAGCTAGTACACACGGTTAGAACGCGTGAACCGTACGTTGATATATTTTTACAAGGACCCCTGCATGCATTCGTAAAGATAGGAGAATGGAAAAAGCACACGGAGAAATCGTCGCGGTTGGATCCGAACCCGACGTGGCAAATCCCGATCGAGATTCGGCATCGACGGGTTCGGATACGTTAAAACCTATTAGCCTAGGCAATTTTGTACTTACCTCTATCGACCCTGAATCTCCTAGCTCCCCCCCATCACCCTCGAGAATCGTTTAAGTAGCTGTATCTGTTCGTGTACACGTCAATTTCCTTACTGAAAATTCGCGCAAGTTGTGTGTAATACGAGTCGATAAAAATGACAATAGATGGCCTACAATTTTAATCGGCGTTTACCTGGGAATACGTTCCTTCTAGTCCAGTTCCTAATACAATTTCTCTCGTTAATCTTAAAGATAGACTGTACAGATCCAACGGTACAGGTCGGAGCAGAGTTGGGCAAATTCTGGATAAAAAGTTTTGAGTAACGAATATAAAAAACAGTATTTCGACATTTTTAGAAATTGCAATTTTTCTAATAAAATAATAATTATTCTTGAATGAGTAGAGACTTGGCAAAATATCATTTGATCTCATTAACTGTTTTACGGTCAAGATGGTGATCGTAGATACTGACAGTTATTCGAATAAAATGGTGCCCAACTTTGCGTAAGAGACACTTTAAATTTAAGTTGTGTAAAAGATACATCAATATCGATAGATCTTAAAAATTGGCCTCAATCTAATCTGCTGATACCAAAAACCACCCCTCCTCCCAATCTACCACCATCAAGTAGACCCACAAAATTATCTTAAATGTCCATTACCAATGTTAAACCCGCTCCTTAACCCCACGAAACCACTCGAAACTAGTTCTCATAAGAAAACCACTCCAATTACAATCAACATCTATAAGTTCAACACTCGAAAAGACTATTGACGCCACACCCCCCATAACCGATCAATATCCCACTACTTTGAACCCTTCTTGATTCTAATCTCCTTCTATTATCCATCAGATCAATGGTCCCAGAGATTCCCTCGTTCATCCAAACCGCTGTACGATCGCTTATCCTGGGGCACATCTGACCTTTGGGGGGTCGGTTATCTCGAAGGGACGGATCAAGATCGTTCCCGTGGCTAGGTGGAAAACAGCTACCACCCTTCCTTCACTCCCTCAGGCTAATGACTTCCGGTATACCAGCACATCCGGCACGCGAACCTGTTGATCCCCGTAACCACGTGGGTTGCGAACACTACCCTAGGAGTAAAGGATTGGGCTGAGCCAGGTAGGTGCACACAACACTCAGTTTCTGTGTGGAAGGGGAGTCTATCTTGTGGAGGGAAAGGGGGTGTATCTTGTGGAGGAAATGGAGTTCTATCTTGTGAATGGAAAGGGAGTTTATCTTGTAGAGGGAGAGGGGGTCTAGTTTGAGGAGAGAAAGGGGTCTATTTTGAGGAGGGAATGGAGGTCTATCTTGTGGAAGGAAAGGGGGTCTATCTTGTGAATGGAAAGGGGGTTTATCTTGTAGAGGGAGAGGGGGTCTAGTTTGAGGAGAGAAAGGGGTCTATTTTGAGGAGGGAATGGAGGTCTATCTTGTGGAAGGAAAGGGGGTCTATCTTGTGAATGGAAAGGGGGTTTATCTTGTAGAGGGAGAGGGGGTCTATCTTGTAGAGGAAGAGGGGACCTATCTTGAGGAGAGAAAGGGGGTCTATCTTGTGAGGGAATGGAGGTCTATCTTGTGGAGGAAACGGAGGTCTATCTTGTGGAAGGAAAGGGGGTCTATCTTGTGAGGGAATGGAGGTCTATCTTGTGGAGGAAACGGAGGTCTATCTTGTGGAAGAAAAGGGGGTCTATCTTGTGAATGGAAAGGGGGTTTATCTTGTAGAGGGAGAGGGGGTCCAGTTTGAGGAGGGAAAGGGGGTTTATCTTGTAGAGGGGAAAGGGGGTCTGCCTCGTGGAGGGGAATCGTAAGGTCAGGTCGGCGATTTCGACCGTGGTGATCCGCGATCATTCTGTTTGAAGCCACAACCCACCCAAGTGGAGTGGGTTAGTTTCCTTCCTCCTGTCGCGATCGATGCGATAAGGGTGAAGCTTCCTTGAGGAAACCGCGGAGCCTAGCCACGCGTGCCTCGATACCCACGCTAAACTGGCTCAAGGTCGTGTTCTGCTTGCGTCAGAACTCGAGGAACCCGTGGAATTCGTACATACGTGCACGGTGTGCATCCCGGGGCTTAATTGGAACCTGAGTATCAATTCCAAGATTATGGCCACTAGGGTTATTCGGAATATTTGTGTTATGATAACGACGTGGGTGGAAGGATTGACCTTTGGTACAGTAGTGGGCAATTATGCAGTTTAGAGGCTTTTCTGAATTTTAGCTACTTCAATGCGGTTTTTTTATATAGCTTCGTTGTATCACTAAAACGAAAAATTAGGCGGGGGAGGTCGAAAAGGTAATGTACTTTCGGAGATATTTGTGAAAAACTACTGCTACTACTACATTGAGTCTTGTGTATATAAAAAAGTAATGTACTTTTGTTAGTTTTGTTTAAAAAACCGTGGGAAATTATTCGGAATTGTATATTCGACACTGATTTCAATGACTTTTGGATATGTATGGAACTCAACATTTTGAACAACGTTTTCCTGTATATGTTAGCGCCCACTGGGCTTAGTTCCCGAGCTATTTATAGCTAAAATGGAGAAAAGCCGCTAAACTGCAGAATTACCCAAATGGAAATTGCGGGGATCGAGTTGAATCGAAAGGGGATTTTAGGGAATCTGGATGATATTCTGAAATCGAATAAAATCGTCAAATATAGGTCTATGGATCATTCTGGAATTCATTTTCTGGGAATCGAACCTTATTTAGTCGATTAAGGTTTCCCTGGGTATACAAATGATTCATTTATTCGTCACAGTGATTAAACTCCATTTGTATTTGAAAATTATTTTGAATATAAGTTACGCATGATTCAATTGCATTGACGATGAAATTTGAAAAAATTAAGGCAAGGCTAAGAATTTAAAAACTGAGCAGTTACGTTGTCGGGGGTCGATCATTATCAAGGATTAAAAGTTGATTGTTCAATTTTGTAGGCATGCTTATCGACTCAAGACGGTGTTATGTTGCGGTGAAGTACTATTTGTATGTACGAATGCTTTCCCGTCTGTCCGTCGCGCATCAAGTATCACGTCACAGTTTTAATTTAGAGAGTTAACACCAGCATCGCGTGTCTGACCATGATCGACAGTTCCTACTGCGTCGCAGAATTAAGCGGCGACTGCAGGTAGACGCAGTTGCCCGCATCATAGAATTCTTTATAGCACACTTTCTGCAAAAAATTAACCTACTAAATCCCCATTTTTTTTCCATATACTTCAGCGATATAATTTCCAGAAACGGAATATCAAATACGTCTCTACAGCATTTCGAAGCTCATAAAAAATGTAAATTTCTACAGATTATTTTTTAAACACGAAAAATTGATTCTTTTATTCTATATTTCACGATTTAAAAACAAAGTGAAAACTTCAGTGACATATGTATACAAAATTATATTGCTTTTGTTCACTGGGTAAAAAAAGCGAAAATCTGAATGAAGGACACAGGCGTTTAACGGTGTTAAATCGTCATTAAGGCGGTACACCACTTGAGTTTCACGTATATATACACAAGAACATCAGTAGCTATCGAACAGAACAATAAACTACCCTAAAGAATAATTTCCCAGAAAACTAAATTCCCTACAACCCCCAAAGAAACTTACACCACTTTCTACAACCCCCAAGCTCTTAATCGCTACGCATAAAAAAATACAACCACTGCAGTACCAGACCTGGGCACTTTCGAAATATTATTTGAAATAACGTTATTTTATTTTCTAATCATTTGAAATAATTCTTAGAAATAATTGCCAAATTGTTCATCGAAATTATATCAGGTGACTAGGTTTGAGTTTGGTTTATCAACATATTTCGGAAGAGTAAACGCCCCTTTTCCACACCAGTGGAACGACTATTTTCTTCCGCGATAATATCAGAGGGCCCCGAGCAAATATCTCTCACGGATGAGCATTTCGAAGTGCGGGTTTTGTATAAAGCAAACCGCTGTAAATATGTCTTAAACTAAAATCACCCCATTCCATATTATTTCGAGCATTATTTCCTTCGTCGAATTAAAAAATTCAAAAATAAAATAATTCCTTACTTGAAATTGCCATTATTTCAAATAAATCGATAATATCTTTATTTCCAATTCGCAGTATTAAAAATAAACTTCCGTAATAAATAATTCCATATACCCATTCCTTATTTTCGTTTCAAATACAGTTTATCCAGGTCTGCACAACACCTACGTCCAAAAAACTCCCCACAACATCAACCCATCCCCTCCGCCAGACAGCGCTGGGGTTTGGTTCAGGCGGCGCATGATCTCCCCCTTCCCATTCCGCCGTCTCGGAGGAGAAATCCACCCCTAGCCGACCGATTGAACCAGTGAACTCTCGCGGTCGAAGCGACCCCTCAGAGCCCCTACGGTCGTGAGAGTGTGGCCCTCCTCCCAGATACGAGCAGTAGTCGTGAGCTTGGTGCCGAGCTGGGGCGATGCTCGTCGTCGCCCGCGTGTGCATCGCGATCGCGCCGAGTGCTCGCCATTCCGTGTCTCCTAGTGTGTTATCGTTCCTCTCTGTCCGACGTCACTCAGAGAAGCATCATCGTTATCATCATCATAACAACGGTCGATCGTTTCCGTGGTTGTGCTGGTGCCAGATACCGCCCTATTCGACGACGTTGCTCGAAGCGCTGCCGCAACGAGCAGCCACGGTGCAACGACCGTTCGACGTACGGTCAGCCGCACGTGAGCACGTACCAGCCGCCACTGCGAGATGAGAAACGTGAGTTTCCTCTTGATTCACCGGAAGATCCTACCCTGAGTATCTTCTCAGAGTATTCGATGTCTTCTGTAGAAGTTCACAGAATTTTTTAATACGACGATATGGTTCCAATGATTTATTCTATTTGTCTATTCTGTCTTTGTTTTACTGGCTTTTCTATCTGGCTTTGGCTCTACTGTTAAGCCAAGGATTCCCGCGGTGGCGCGCGAGAATGGCACAGAGACGCTCTAACCCCAGCGACACGCGAAATTCGAATGCAAAGAACAAGGCGAGAACCACCCTTCCTCGGTCAGCGGGGGATGCGTGTTTTCTAGGCTTTCGTCGCGTCGCGAGGCCGCGTTGTCGGGTTTCGGTGCTCCCGGCGGATCTGGGATTCTGACGAATTCGGTGTACCACGGTGTAAGTGGACCGTTGGGCTTCTGGCGAGAGATTTCGGGGGATTTTTTTTGTGTGACAGTTGGGGAATCGATTGTGGCTCGATGGAATTTGTTTGATTGGTGGTCTGGAGGAAATTGGATATGATTGTTGTGTCGAACGAAGGAAAGTATGGTTTATGAACGTACAGGTAGGGTTTTGGGTGATTCTTGTGGGAAATATTATATCTGTTGTAGTCTGATTGGGCTTCTATGGAAAATATACGAGGGATTGGTGCGTCGAAGAACGGAAATTCAACGTGTGACCGTCCGAGCAGACTTTTGGGCGAAAATATTTGGGTGATTCTTGTGTGAAAATAACAGAATTCACCGATTACTGTTAGAGGATTAGTTAGAATATCGATCCAGTTAGACTTCTGGTTGTTACTTTCGGGAAATTCTTGAGTGAAAATGCGGAAATTTTCGTCCAGTTAGGCTTCTATATGAAAAGTTTCGAAAAATCCTTGGGTAAAAATGACGAAATCCATCGACTGCTCTCAGAGCGAAAGGGTTTGATTGATCTTCTGGCAAAAATATCCAGGGGTTTGTTGTGTCGAATGAAGGTAAATCGACCATCTGGTTAGGCTCTAGCAAAGATTTTTGAAAAATTTTGTTGTATCGAATGATGGAATTCACTGACTATAGTTCGAATAAAATCGTTCGATTATTCTCTTGGCTAAAATTTTCGGTGGACTGTTATGTCGAATGACGGAACTCAGCGACTACGGTTCGAGGGAAACCGTTCGATTGGTTTCCCGGGGGAAAATTCTCTGGAGATTGACGTGTCGAACGACTGAATCCACCACATATGGTTTGAGTGTTGATCTGTTCGGATAGGCTTCCAACGAAAGTTCTGGGAGATTGTTGTGTCGTTGTGTGATTACAATTCGAAACCATCTGATTAGTCAGAAGATTTCCAGAAGAAATTACAGATTTCCATCAACTATAGTTGAAGCGAAATTTTTTGGGCAATTTTTTTTTTACGCATCCGAAGAGAATTTTTAAGAGATTATTGTGTCGAAGGAGAGAATTTACCAATAATGGTTCGAGCCAACCCGTTTGACTGGTGTCCTGTCGAATTGTAAAATTTAATTAGAATTTTTAAAAGATCGTTTTGTCGAACGGAAGAATCCATGGACAAACGATTCCAGCTTAACCATCCAGTCAGATTTCTGGTAAATATTTTCGGGAGATTGTTCTTTGTGCAACGAAGAATTTCCTCGAGTTAGTGACCTTAAACGTGGCCAGTCTAGCGACCATGTGTCCTTATATGCTAAAGTACTTCTTGAAGACATTTGACCTTCCACAGACGCTTTCAGTGGTGTTTTGTTGGAACCTTGGGGCGATTGTACTGTGAAACAGAGATTTATCTTGTGTGTGGGTCTTTTAGCACATTCTTGGTTGTTGGTAGACGATGTATATATGTATATCTTTCTATATGGATGCATTCATGAGGAACAGTTTGTTCTCTTGGAATAGTCCGTTGAAGATTTCAGGATCTTTAGTAGTGCATTGTATTTAATCACTCGCTGTGCTCTGTAAAGTCATTCTTGTTTGTGTCCTTGGTCATTGAGTTTCGGTTCTTTATGCAGTACAGTATCCTTGGATTATCCTTTGTCCAATATTTCGGAGTCTCTGGCGAACTGTAGAATGTAATCACTCATCCTTCTATAGAAAATCCTCGTTGTTTATACCTAAAATCCCTTTTGTTTACGTCTAAAATCCTCTCTGTTTATGTCTCTGAGCGTTGTAGTGTTGTTTGTACACAGTGGTATCCTCGGAACAGTCTTTCATCCGACATGTTTTTATCCCTGGATGATTATACCGCGACATTGTTTGAGTCCCTGTATTTTTATCTAATATTCACTGTTGTAAAAAGTTCCAGAAAGCTACACTCAGATGTTCTTTTTATTTCGAACCTACCAAAGCCCTTAACAGGGTAAATGAATTTCTCTGTTCGTGTCCAATTTCGAGAAATTCATCCATAAAATTTTATATTTATGAATATATATATATAAAATTTCATTTCCTCATTTGGTTAACCCTTTTTTGTGTATTTTATCATAATTCAAACTTTCAACTTGACATCGGTAAAAATTTGTCGAGCAATATTTTGCATCCCCTAAATGATGATCCTCTGACGATCCTTTCGAGTGGTTCGAACATCATTTTCCTGAAACCTGAGGCATCTTCCGAGGCAGACTCGGCCTTTTCGGTACAGACTTCTGTCGCGTCAGTGTCTGCTGACTTATCTAGGCGAAACGTTCGGTGAAACTGTTTGGGCACAAGTGCCATTCAATTCCCACCGTTCGTTCCCTCTTCAGACGCTACTTCATCGGTCTCGAGCCTTTTGTCGAATGATCGGCGGCCGCCGGTTCCATCAATTTCCCTGCAAAACTGAACTGTGCAATGTTCCGTTATTGTCCGATGGATGTTATTTTCAAAAAAAAAAAAAAAAAAAAGTTGCATCATTGTCGCCAGAGAATCAATAACCCCGTGGACGACGGTTTAAAAATATTTATAAACGCGACGCTGCCTCTCGCTCGTCGGGGAACAGTGCTGGTGCACTCACCGTCACTCTACAAGTGTCCTGTAAACGTTACAATGTATATACAGTGACTCGCAGAATTCGACTCGATCATTTATTAAAGGAAAATGGTCATTTTCGGTTGAAATTTTTTTTTTAACGTTCACGAACGGCTCCAGTAGCATTTGATAGATCGTCACTTGATAAACAAAAAAATTTATTGCGACAAACTTGTACAACTGGAGGGTTTCGAGATATTGACATTTCTATTTTCCCGAATGTGAATTTTTATAACATTTAAAGGCTTCGATTTATCGACCTCAAACTTTTTCTAATATTATTACTTTGACATGGCCTTTTTGGGTGACAATAATTTTTAGCTTTTTATGCCTTGTAGTAATTAATGGTCATTTCCGAATTCCTTGTTACAATGAACGAAGGACGCGGAAAGGACATTTTTCCATTATTTGGCGAAAATATCGATATTAAACCGACCTATATTTTTTGTGTTCTTTTATTTACTTTCGAAGGGAATACTATTACCCAACCGAAAATACTGATATCTACTTTATTATAAAAAAAATCAAGGATTCCTGCTTAACAAATTTCGATATTAACCGGCGACAGAATTTGACGAACTTTTAAAATGAACGTTTCTACCGTTGCAACACTGAACGTTAAATGATTAAAGGCGATGTTCGTAGTAAAAGCTTTCAAAATGGCCCAAAAGGGACACAGCGACCACGGGCTGTCAAATGTTTGTTGCTCCAGGTACAGAATAACGAACATTCGGTGCATTAATCCAGCAATTATTTCGAACAATACAATTTCCGTGGAACATTGTTACGGTTCTAATCGGCGGGAAAACCGATGGGAACCGTCAGGAGCGTTCGGTTAAATGCAGTTTCCGCTCGACCGCGTATTTAATTCCCTGATATCGGTGGGGGGCTTCTTTCCAGTTCCTGGAAAACCACCCTCTGGCCGAGAATTCCCTCCGCCCTACACCCACCGAATCCCCGCGTCTCGCCGTTCCCCTTCACCCCCTCCAACCCTGTTTCCACCCCTCGGTCTTTGTCTTCGTCTAGGCCACTTCCGACCAGCCACGAGTTACTCGGTCCAAAGTCAAGTGGATAGCAACCCTCGTCCCTCTCGCCTTCCAACCCTCACCCCCTCGGTTCTTTTTTTATATTTCGCGCGTTCATCACGTAGCAGCGTTACCACACGAGCTCTCAGCCCCACACCTGTACATTTTATTCGATTTTTCTTCAACACTTTTTTCGTATCGTTTCGTCCCTCACGAGAGAAGCAATTTGTATCTGAAACATTTTTCTTTATCGTACTGTCAACGTCACGTTTTATTTATGTAAGGAATTTCATGTCTTTTAATCGTTATTGTACTAATTTATATTTTATTTCTCTTCTTTCTACCTCTTTGAATCATCCTCGTTGTACTTTGAACGTACTTCACATCGGATGTTTTTCTTTGCAATTTTCTGCGATATTACCCCCCTACTGACGGTCTTGTCGACGACTTTCCACTCGAGTTTCTTAATATTCCGTTACCCGTCCATTTACACGCTTCATTCTCAGCTCCCTTTCACGTTTCCCGTCCACCTTTTCCGCGGAACAACCTCCAGTTTTCTCTTGTCTTCTTTTTTTTTTTCTTCTCTCCTCGAACTAGGTTTCAGTTTTATTTGTATACACATTGTTTCAACTTGGGCTCCGTTTTTCTACCCACCGAGCGTGTGTCCCAACACCTCTTTCTCTCACCCCTCCTCGACGTTATTTTCTGTTAATGTTACGCCCACACTCGACTCCCGTTCCCCGACCGAGTCGGCTTTTTTATTCGTTTTACTTTGGCACTTTTCCCTGCATCTTTTTCACTCTTTCCCTTTTTCTCCTTTCTCTCGATCGAGCCCCAAGCTTGTTTCATTTTTACGCGAAGCTCGACCCATTGTTTCCCTCGGTCCCTTTCATTTCTCTCCATTTAGCTTACTCGCCATTTTTGCACCGTCCCTCCACCTACGTCCTGGTGGAGCAGTCCGACGGCGTTTTCCTGT